GACTTTTCCAGCTCATAGGTGGTTCCACTTAATCTTAGGGGACCAAATGAGCCTTTCACTTGACCCAAAATAGTCTTAACTCAAGCCAATGAGCCCCTAATTGAGTTAGTAGGGTTCCTCCTAAAACCAACTCAATTACAATCATGACTACTTCAATCTAGACATAATCGATTACAAACAAAATACTATGTTGTCCGGCATGTCATTGGTTCATTTGGTGCTTCGTTCGATCCTTTCGGCACATCGTCCTGTCTTACGGCGTATTGCCTAATTGACATGTTGACCTCCGTAATATATGATCTCCTTAACGTAATATCTAATCCTTTTGGCCCAATGCCTGAACTCATGACATAAAGCCTTTTGCCGACACGTCGACCGATCCTTTGGCTTGACGTCCAATCTATTGACATGTTCCGGCCCAATATATAATTTCATTGCTTTAATCGATTTGTCATTTCCTGATTGAAGCTAGTCTTGTGCCACTCAAAATGTAGATTAGATCGTTAACTCATCAATTGATTTTATCATCAAAATTCGAGATTCAACAATCTCCCTCTTTTTGATGATGACAACCAATTGATGATGGAGTTTAAACTAAACTCCCCCTATCAATATGTCATATTAATAGAAACTTTGAATTCAAAAAATTATAACTATTTATCATTATATCATTCCAAATCATAAATATTTCAAATCATCATTGTATTAAAATATCAAAGTACATTACATCCTACCATGTATAATCATTATCATACCTTCTGCTCCATTGTCATCAACAAAAAGGAGATGTGCAACTAGTAAGTTTTTCAGATATAATTTTAAATCATTGTATTATAAACATAATTTCAAGTTTTTGAAATATTGTATATATGTTAGGACTGAAATTGACATTAAGGAGGGGGGGGGGGGGGGGGGATGAATTAGTGCTTCCATAAAATCATATCGGTTTGAAAACTTCATTCGATGAAATTGTATCGGAAAGATATTTAAACTTAAAATACGTTCATAAGCATAATGAGAGTAAGAAATCAGTGTGCAATGTAAATAAAAAATATAAATTAAATGTAAACTATATTTATAGTAGTTCGGTCTGTCGTGACCTACATCCACTACCGATTCCTTTTCACTCGAGGCCATTGGCTTCCACTACCGATCTTCTTTCAATGGACGAAGATCAACTATCTTTCCAACTCTTTTCTTCTTTTCACAAGCTCGGGAGAGAACCTTTACACCTCTCTTTTAGACCTCACTCCTCCATTAGAAATCTTTTAACTCTAGGATGAAGAGATTCACTCATCTAAAGAGATTACAATTTTTACTCAAGAATTCTTTCCCCCTTTTCAACTCTATTTCATGCTTATCCATACAGGAATAGCTGGGGTATTTATAGACCCTAAATGACTTCAAAAATAGAGCCAAAAAATATCTCATCCAGAGTTTCCCGAGTCTTGGCGGTACACCACCATCACTGGACGATACCACTATCTACTAGATTTATGATTGACGGTACCACTGCTTGTCAGTCTGACACAATCTTGAAGATTGTGTCTGGGTGGTACCAATATCGGTCTGGGCGGTTCCACCACCCAAACAACCTGGGAGGCCAAGTCCCAAGCGGTGCCATTGCTTGGGCATGCTATAGATTGTTGCATGGGCCTCACTTGGCCCAAATCAGTCTAAACTCAAGCTCAATTGGCCCCTAATTGAGTTAGCATTGTTTCACCATAATACCAACTCTATTAGACCTAAACTAACTCGATCTAGACACACATGATTACAAGCATGAATCTTATGTTGTCCGGTACGTCATTGGTTCATCCGACGCTTCATCCGATCCTTCAGCACATTGTCCTCTCCTTCAGCGTATTGCTTAATTTGCATGTTGACTCCCGCAACTTCCGATCTCCTTATTGCAATGTTTGATCATTCAGCCCGATGCTCGAACTCATAGCACGAAGTCTTGCCGACACGTCAATTGATCCTCCGGCCGACGTCCAATCTTTTGACATGCTCACTCTGGCCCAACGTCTGATTCCTCTTGCTTTAATCAATTTTTCTTTTCTTGATCGAGGTTAGTCCTGCATCACTTAAAACGTAAATTATATCATAAACTCATCAATTAATTTTATCATCAAAATCTGAGATTCAACAATCTCTCCCTTTTTGATGATGGCAACTAATTGATGATGGAGTTTAAACTAAACTCCCCCTATCAATATGGTATAATTGAGATGAACCTTGAATTCAAATTGAATTCAAGTCAAAGCAAATTTAATCATGAATATTTCATCATTGCATGTATCATTATCATAAGTTGAAGTATTGCGTTCATAATACCAAATCATTATGTATATTTTTAAATTATAAAATTATCATTACATACATGATTCCAAATCATCATTCATAATAAAATTACATCATATCATGCATGATCATCATCATACCTTCTTCCCTTTTGTCATCAACAAAAATGAGAAGTGCAACTAGCAAAATTTTGAAATATGCAAGCTAGCAAGCTAGTAAGATATTATGTTTTGAACATACAAGTTAGTAAGTTTTTCACATATGAAAGTTAGCAAAATTTTGCTTCTTTTGAGATGTACGAGATAGCATGTTTGCTTTTTTTTGCAATGTTCAAGCTAGCAAGTCTTTGAAAAAGAATACAAGATAGTAAATAGCAAGTTTTACATCATTTTAGAATATGCAAGCTAGTAAGTTTTAGAGATGTGCAAGTTTAGCAATTCTTTGCTTCTTGAGATAGGCAAATCTAAAGATAAGCAAGATAATGCTTAGTGCTTTCGAAAAAAAAAAAATAACGTTGATTCAAAATTTTGTTCGATAAAGTTTATATCCGAGAAGACATTTAAACTTGAAAACATTCGTAAGTGATTGAGGGCAGTGAGCAAGTAAATCAGTGAGTGATAAGAATAAAAAGAACGAAAGAAATGACACAGAAAGAAAGCACACCGGATTTATAGTGGTTCGATCATCGGGACCTACATCCACTCCCGAGTCCTCCTCCGTTGAGGCCACCGGTGTCCACTAACGGTCTTTCTTCAATGGGCAAAGACCAACCACCCTTTTACAACACTTTCTTATTTTTACGGGTTTAGGAGACAACCCTTATAAGCCTCACACCTCTCTTGAATGATCTTAAAACTATAAAGGGAGGAGGAGGACACTTAACAATTTTACAACATGAAATCTCAAGATTTTTATTCACACTTTCATTGCTCTTTCATGCAGGAAAGAGTGAGGTATTTGTAGGGCCTAATGACTTCAAAAATAGAGCTAAAAAGTGTTTTATCTTGGGTTTTCGGGGTACTAGCGGTACCACCACCATTATTGGGCGGTACCACCGCTTGTAAACTGACACTACCTAGTATGAGCGATACAACCGCCTAACAGAGCCTAGGAGACTAGGATTTGGCGGTACCACTGCCTGACAGGGCAGTACCACCGCTTGGCAACATTAATTATCGACGGTACCACCGCCCAGACCACTTGAGAAGCTAAGCCCCAAGCAGTTCCACCGCCTAGTCTAGGCGGTGCCACCGCCTAACATGACTGCAAGTGGCTGAATGGGCCATCCGGCCACCCCAATTCAGCCTTGTTAAAGACCTAGTTGGCCCCTAATTGAGTTAGTAGGATTTCTCCCAAAACTAACTCAAAATCAAATTCCTAACTACGATGGTTAAGGCTAAAACACTTACTCTACTTGCAATCTAAGTTGTCCTACACGTCAATGGTTCAACCAAACTCCTGATGAACTTTCGACGAACTCCCGACAATCTTCCAGCGAACTCTCGACGAACCTTCGGCGAGCTTTCAGGAAACTCCTGGAGAACCTCTAGTAAGCTTTCGGCGAACTCTCGGTGAACTTTCAGTCAGCATTCACTGCATCGTCTAATCCTTCGGCATATCCCCCGATTTATCCGACCCGATGCCCGATCATTGACTCCGGCCCAACTTCGATTCTTCTTTAATCATTTTGACTTTCTCACGATTGTAGTTAGTCCTGCATCACTTATCTCAACACATGGATTAGATCATTAATTCACTAATTGATATCATCATCAAAATTCGAGATTCAACATCGGCTAGTGATATGGATAAGTTGATATGACATACACATGCTTAAACATGGTCGACAAGTCAATCATCCTAGCCACTTGTCAGTCATGTCCTACCAACAAGTTGTTATTGAATCCAAGGGCAAGTGGACTCAACTGATTGCACATGGTCGAACACTTGAACATCTAACCGCATGAAAGGCATGATCAAGCGACGTGGGTTGTAGGAGCGACAAATGTTACGCCATTCCCTCACCCAATATGTCGCATGTCTTCTCGCTTGACAATCTCGGATATAATTGTTCCCAGGCTATCTATAAAAAGGATCCCAAGGTATGCATTTGAGGGATTGAACTGTTCGATCTTATTAACTACTTCAACCCATTCGATAAGTAGATTATTAATTTCAGAAATTGACTTGATCATCAAAGAGGTTATTATCAGAAATACCCTCGACTCAATCTTGTAGGATCGACATGATAAAAAATCGTAAGTGGAACCTTAAACCATCTTAGAATTAGTCTCGATTGGATCCGACTCATATAATCAAAATCTGATTTAACGTACAATGGAAGATTAATTTTGTAAAGTTTGTTTAGTTAGTTTAATTATTAAAGATCATGAGTATTGATCAAACTTCAGATTTTGTACTTATTATTTTATAAATATTTTTATATATTAAATAACGTACATTCTTATATAGATTATAATGAGATTTATTTGCTGTCCAATGATACGCTAAATTAGGACGTACATATATGCGATGTACCGGCGGCGTCTTTTATCTGTTGGGCCCTACAGTATTCATCGGACGGGCCGAGGTCGTCACCGGGAATGATCCCTGATTGAGACTCATCGATCCAACGGCCCTGCTTCTTCCTTGCTTCCGAGTTGCGTCTCATTGTACTTCGAACGGCCGCCGTCGTCTTCAACAGAGTTGTTTGTGTGTGTTTAATTCTTTTCCCTTATTCGTCTGGCTTCCCTGCTGAGTACGAGAAAAGAGGAAGAGGAGAAGAGGAAGAAGAAGACGAAGGTTATGGCGTCTATGATGAGCTTGGCCAGACGGAGGGCTGGGGGACTCCTCCGACCGGAGACGATGCGGCATGCCGCCGTGTTTTGCCGCGGATTCGCGGCGGCGGCGGATGAGAACGACGTGGTGGTGATCGGCGGCGGTCCCGGCGGGTACGTGGCGGCGATCAAGGCCGCGCAGATGGGGCTCAAAACCACGTGCATCGAGAAGCGGGGCACGCTCGGCGGCACATGCCTCAACGTTGGTTGCATCCCTTCCAAGGTAAAAGATCGCCTCATGACTCTTTTTTCTGCCCCTTCTTTTCCCCCATTCACATGTCGTCCTTGATCTTCTCCTCTTGGTCTTTTCTTGATTCATACTCGTGTTGCTTGATTGCAGTGAATTTTGCTGATGTTTATGTATCCGGTGCACCAATTAGACCCGATCTGTTGTTTAGGGGCAAACGAATTGGATTCACGTTCTGTTTGTTTGTGGCTTTTCATAGCAGTTGGTGTTTCTTGGTTCTGTTATTTGACTTTGTAAATCTCAAACAGGTGGATCTGAGATTTGGAAGCTGTTGGAGAAAAAATTAACTTGTAGGAAAGATTCAACTTTTTTCCCAGTTAATCTGTGTTCTTTGTGGTGATGTTATCGTTAAGTGGAGTCGTTTGATCGATTTGGGCTTCTTAAGGTCATTGCCTGAATTAATCATTGATATTTGGTTTTTGTCTAAAGCTAGGAAGGTCCCGAAGTCATTTCTTGGAAATTAGAACCATTATCCAAGGAACCAAAAGTCTTTGCAAAGTAAAAACTGGAATTCTCCCATAGTTTTGGAAAATTGTTGAGATAACTTCTGGCGAAGTAAAAATTTTTATTAAAGCTCAAGATCAAAAATCAAGCTCTACTCAGTTTTGACTTCCAACAAAAGACAAACAGCCTTGGAATTTGTTAGTAAATTTGGCTTAGCAAGTGTGATTTCATATCCATGGAGTTTGACTATATGTAACGTTTGGCTTGGTGCTTGATTTTAGTACTCTTGGCAGATGCAAAAAGTGGCAGCCCAGAGTCACTGTCAATGCAAGGGTGGGTCTTAATTTTTCTTGGTCTATTTTAGGTTTTGTTCAGTTCAGTTTGGTTAAATGGTGAATTTGAAACTGGACAGGAGGGTTCAAATTTATACACCGAGGAACCAGAATCAGCTTTTAGGATAAACCCCACTTCGGACTGAAATTTTTGGTTCTGCATAGTTGGATTCATTGGTCTTCAATGGAATAAAATAATTTTTTAAAGTGGTTTATTCTTCTCATAACTGATAAAAGTCAAGTTCTGGTAATTGGTCTGAGATGGAAGACACAAGTCGACCTGGTGTCAAGATGGATACTGCCGGGCAGGCCAAGGTGAGCTTTTGCCAAAACAAAGAATGAAAAACCTGCAAAAATAGATGGACACTGGAATTGCATCTATCTGGATCCTTAAATGCTCAAGTCAAAGGTCACTCGGTCACTCGGATGTCGAGAGAAGATGAAGTAGAAGAGTTAGCAAACAGAATGTTCTGCCCCTTTTACCATCGGAGAAGGTCCCTCTTATAGTGTTGAAATCCCTAATGCCTCATCTGCAGTGAAAGATTTACCATGTGGAGAATTTTTACCATATCGATCTGATGATGATGTGATGGATGAGTTGACTGGGGTGTCATGGAATTTACTGCATGGTGTCCACCATGGTTATAAAGTTCACGTGTTGCTTTTATGATTGGTGGTGCTTGTTTTCTATCCCCATCGATAAATATTATTTTCAAATGATCATTCATCTGTTCTGACTGCCACACAAGCCTTTCACCATCCTCCAATTTGCTTCTTTGAGTAATTTCTGATTGTGTTCCATCGTTCCAACACTCTTCTAGTGGAGTTTTTATTGTAATAGACCTTGAGATTATGAAGAGGGTAACAGTACAGTGATCCCTCTTCATCATGGCAAAAGTTGAGGGGAGACCAATGAATGCAGGTGGGAGTTCAAGGGCATGGAACATATAGTAGAAGAAAACGTGTTTTGGGATTGGCTGATTTAGTTTTGGAACAAGTCTACCCGATGTTGGACCTGTGGTGATGTCAGTTTGGAATGAGCTGTCAGTTTTGATTGGATCTGTTGGTAGATTAATCTCCACAGTTAAATATTTTTTGGGAATGGAACAAAATCTTTCACAAAATATCAAAGAATTGGAAGTGCTTCAGTCATTTTAGCATAAGAGGAAACGGAACAATTAGATATTTTCATTTTGTGCTTTTTTCTATATTTTTTTCTTTTGTGCTTGTAATTGGGATGGTTATACAACTTGAAGATCATAAACTTATAAACTCATGAGTCAAGATATTATTGTTTAATGAAGGAGTGGCTCTTTGTCATATTTTTCCTCCTGGTGTGGTTCCAAGCATCTGAAGTGAGTTTGAATTGATTCCTCATACATCTCTCCCTCCTTCCTTTTTTTTTCTCCCACATAAAGTATCTGAAGTTATTAACAACGTGGACATTGAAAAAAAAAAGAACCTATTTTAGGTGTCTTTAATATTTGTTTCAAGTTAATAGTTCAAGATTATGTTAGAAATAACCAGTGGTAGGTTTATTTTAGGATTTGTGATCATTAGTAATTAACCCTATATAGGATCTATTTTAAGGTTTATGGCAGTTCTTGGATGCATTCACTATTTCTCTTTGCAATAAAAGTTATTTTATTTAATAGATTGCTTTGTTCTTAGCTTGTGAGGCTTATTCTTAACCTTGAATCAGTGAATTACTTGTTAGAGGTGTTACTTCTAACATATGAAGAGCTATTTTGCAAAAGACATTGCTGTAAATATATTTTGACTGAAGATGGATATGTAGAGGTATAATACCTCTTAAATGTGAAGTGTGAATGTTGAATATATAGATATGTCAAGTAATGGTTGTAACTATTGTGATACTTCATACATGGAAATGCTCTTGTTACTGTTTGATGGACTCATTTAGTACTCTAAAATTTAAATACTTCTCTTAATAGACCTACGAGATAAGCATACAACAAGGTTGCCAGTTGAATTTCTTGATGTTGTTTAATATTCTGGTATTTTTAAAAACTGTGTGCTGGAGTGTTTCTAGTGACATACCTTCTTCTGCACCTCTCTTCCAGTTTATCTCTTGTTTCTGTTGTTGTCCAACTTTGATTGAAACCCAACAAGATAAACCAAACTGAAAATTTTGTTTTTGTTCAAAATCTATTTTTGTTCTAGCTGGGTTCAGTTTCTGTTTTGGTCAAAAAAATCGAGCGATTAGTTTGGTTCAGAGTTCTGGGGAACATGAATAGAGTGAAATGAATATACTACTAGACAGGACCAGCCATGTGAAATATAAAATAACTAAGTTGCTGAATGATCATTCTTAAGATTGTTAACTAACTCTTTTGTTTTCCTGTTTGCAGGCTCTTCTTCACTCCTCTCACATGTACCATGAAGCCAAACATGCATTCCCAAGTCATGGTGTAAAGTTCTCTCAGCTTGAAATTGACCTACCTGCCATGATGGCACAGAAAGATAAAGCTGTCTCTGGTCTCACACGTGGTATTGAAGGCTTGTTCAAGAAGAACAAAGTAAACTATGTCAAAGGTTTTGGCAAATTTGTTTCACCCTCTGAAGTCTCTGTTGACACCGATGAAGGAGGCAACACTGTTGTCAAAGCAAAAAATATCATAATTGCCACTGGCTCTGACGTCAAATCACTACCTGGAATTACTATTGATGAAAAGAAGATTGTTTCATCCACTGGGGCTCTGTCTTTGTCTGAAGTCCCAAAGAAATTGGTGGTGATTGGTGCAGGATATATTGGTTTGGAGATGGGATCAGTTTGGGGAAGGCTTGGTTCCGAGGTGACTGTTGTTGAGTTTGCACCGGATATTGTTCCCTCAATGGATGGTGAGGTAAGGAAGCAATTCCAGCGCATGCTTGAGAAGCAGAAGATGAAGTTTATGCTCAAGACAAAGGTTGTTGGGATTGATGCGTCAGGGGATGTGGTGAAACTGACAGTCGAACCTGCAGCTGGTGGGGAACAGAGCACACTTGAAGCTGATGTTGTTCTTGTCTCAGCTGGTAGAATCCCATACACAGCAGGGCTTGGTCTGGATACCATCGGTGTACAGACTGATAAGGCAGGAAGGATCCCAGTCGATAAACATTTCATGACCAACGTGTCAGGAGTATATGCTATCGGTGATGTGATACCAGGGCCCATGCTTGCTCACAAGGCTGAAGAAGATGGAGTTGCATGTGTAGAGTTTATCGCAGGTAAGGTAGGCCATGTAGACTACGATATGGTCCCTGGAGTTGTATACACACATCCTGAGGTGGCTTCGGTTGGCAAGACAGAGGAGCAGGTGAAGGCCTTGGGGGTGGCATACCGGGTTGGCAAGTTCCCGTTCATGGCTAACAGCCGTGCAAAGGCCATTGATGATGCTGAAGGATTGGTGAAGATACTGGCTGAGAAGGAGACCGACAAGATTCTCGGTGTCCACATAATGGCACCTAATGCAGGGGAACTCATCCACGAAGCTGTGCTAGCCCTCCAGTATGGAGCCTCGAGCGAAGACATAGCTCGCACATGCCATGCGCACCCTACGATGAGTGAGGCTGTGAAGGAAGCTGCCATGGCTACATACGACAAGCCGATTCACATGTAGTGGCCTTTTGCTGAGACCATATATAATCTTTGCGAGCTTTCAAAATAATTTTTGGAACAGTCAACAAGAGGAACTTTTTCTATTTTTACCAGTCGTCCATTGTTGCTCTCAAAGTACACATCATAAGTTATCTGCTTTTGTATGTTCTCTTTTTGGAATAACATGTACCTTGAAGAAATTTAACAGTCAAAACGAATTGGCAGTACGAATTGTGATCTTTTGTAGTAGTTGATCTTAGATTCAATTCCATTTTATGTTGTGTACTTGTGATTGGAGCATTATGCTTGTCTTTGATATTGCTCTCTCGTCGATGCATTCTGCTTTGGGCCTTCATCAATACTGGGAATATCCAGATGCATCTGATCTGAATTCTGTATTCATTGCTAGTTTTGCACTGTAGAAGCATCAGTAATCAGGTTTAGAAGACGATCAAATATATATTCTCTTGATGAAGGAAAGCCTTTCATTATATATATATATATATATATATATATATATATATATATATATAGAGAGAGAGAGAGAGAGAGAGAGAGAGAGAGAG